ATTGTGGCTAGTTGGGGTCCTATATGCCTCAGTTATCTGAATGTCAAATTCTTCCCCTCTGTTTGGAAAGTTTTCAGTCATTAATTCTGTGAACAGCTTTTTTAAGTCCTTTGTATTTTCTGCTGCTACTTCATGGATTCCTATCAGTCTTATATTATTCTTCTTTGCATCATCTAGGAGTTGTTGGATTGATTTCTCATGATCCCCTACTATTTTTAAGAGACCTCTCTTTTCATGGTCACTGACTGCAATCTTATCTTCTATATCTAAGAGTCTATCTTCTCATTCTTTTATTCTGTTGCTTACACTTTCAATGGCGTGTTTAATCTCCTGGATATCTGTTTGAATCTGTTTTATGGATTCCATTTCTTTCCTATGTTGGGCATTTATTGTTTCCATTTCTTTCTTATGCTGGCCCTTCATGGCTTCTATCATGGTCCTGAGCTCATCTATTTTTTTGTCAGTTTCTGCTCTAGAGTCTTGAATCATGACTTCCATTTTGCTCACCATCTCTATGGTTATCTGGGAAATTATTTCTGTTCTGAATTTTTCTAGAGCCTGATTGATCTGTTTTGTTACTTCCTGTGCTTTGAGTTCAGGGTGTCCTGGTGGTTCACTATCAGCCTTTTCATCCTCATTTGCCCTACTGTTTGCCATTGGTAAACTGGAAGTCTGTCCTTGTGTCTTGATTAAGTGTTTTCTCATTTTTATTTTTTTTGTTGGACTGTCCTTGGTTTAATCTCTGGAATATCACCCAAATCTTCCTGATATAGTTGTGCCCTAGCTTCTGTGTCTCTAACGACCCACAGACATTCTCATCTTCATAACATCAGAAAAAACAGCTCATCAAATCAACTGCAATTCTGTATCCCAACTGATACAATCAGCAACACATTAAGATCAAGCACAACTTGGACACTGACCACCTGTGGTAGTCACTAGTCTATCACCCTTAAATCATTTGAATTAAATTGAAATCAAGAAGCAGTCCAGAACATGTCTGCAGTGAACAAAATTTCAATATAGTGTATTTACCATTTAATGGCTCAGACAGAGCGAAGATGCAAGACCCCTGATCTCAGTTAGCCCATGGCTGAACCCCATGACGCTGACTGACCTCAGGCTGCAAGGCCCAGATTGAGTGCCCCAACCTTCTGCATGGTTGAACTCCACAACGTTCTACTACAGGTTTCCCACGCCCTTTCTTTAAAGATGTTCAAAGTTGGGAACTGAGAAAAATACCCTTGATGACCACCTCTGCCTCTGCAGAGTGGATCCAAAGACTGGCACAGTCAGGAGGTCTGAGACTGTGGGGGGGGACGTATAGGGGTTCAGGGGCGCCCAAGCAGCTACCTTCCCGGCGCTTGAGTGATGGCGGCTGGTTCGCGAGCAGGCGTGGCTCTCCTTCCTGGTGTGGATTGGGTCCCAGGCTGCTACCCAGCACTTGAGTGATGGCCGTAGAGAGATCTTTTTAAAAATAAGGGACACAAGAGTCAGTGGGAGGTAGAAGGAAGGGAAAAGGGATTTGACACTTTCACAAGGGGGCCTTAAATCCTACATCTCACTGTTGGGTGATGGGAACCACTGGTGATATGTGCGTGACGGTCCCATCGTGCAGCTTTTTATTAATTTTGTTAGTTAAGATGCTGATAAAAGTATTAGATCCTTTTACAAATGGACAGTCATACATGTACCACCAGTGGTTTGAGCCTACAGGAGCGTGTTGAAAAAGAATTGAAAAAATGGAAAGAGAGTTTTTTTTCAAATGGGAAGTGGAATAAGATGTGAAGCAGGGATGTCTGGGAGGGGAAAGAGACACAAAAAAAGAACTAAGATATGCTATGTACATGTACAAACTCTCCACAATAAATGTAATAATTATGTACTTCAAACATAATTAATAATTTTTTTAAAAAAAGAGCTGAGTCTTAAGGGTACACTAGAAGACTGGATTATAAATATGCTATCTAATTTAATTCTACATTGTTAAACAGATGAATTTGATTATTGAGGCAAAGAGGAGTTGAAGTTTGAAGTCTCAAGGGTGGGTTTTGAGCCTAGCTCTGATGTCAAAGCCTCACCTGACAAGCCTGCTGCAGTTGGGTTTGTGACACAGAAAAGTGGCTCACATTTCAGGCCTGTCCCTCCCATTTGGGACAGTGCTTTCAAAAGCTTTGGCTGAGAAAGGACTTGTCTACAGATTTACTGAATTTGCCTACAGATTTACTGAATTTGTGTACAGATTTACTGGATTTGCACTCTTGTTCACATTCCTTCAGCTTCGGCTGGTAAGGCTGCCCACCAGCTCTTTATGATAAGTTGACAAAGCCAGAGGCTGGATCTCCCCTTTGCCATCTTCCTCAATCTCCTTCTCCTTGCTTCTAGGAAAGCAGACATGCCTTGCGCATCCTCCAAAAATAACTGGAGACAGTGGGTCCGCCCTTTGGCAGCCACCCTCTACCTGCTATCCATCATTGTGACAGTTCCCCTGTGTGTATGGGAGCTACAGAGGGTCCAGGTAAGTGGGTCCCACACCAGTGGGCTCTGCCCTTCTCTCTAACCATGAGGAGGAGACAGCCCTGGTGCATTCCTACACCAGACAGATACCCAGGCTTGGAATCTGAAAATGCCTTCCTGTACACCAGCCCCATCTTTGGACTCATGCCTGGTTTTGTTTGCGCTTCCTCAGATGATGCTACAGGTGGAAAGGTGGGACTGGGTGGACAACATAGTTCCAGGATTTTAATGTAGCTGCTTAGAAAGAAGCACTTTGTTTTGCAAATATTCACCAATCTTCTGAAAGTTAGGTAGTTTTATTCCTGAAGTCTGATCTGCTCTTCAGATCTTCGACTTAAGTGGATCAGATAAACTACCCAGAGACCAACATATTGAATTTTGTTAGCCTTTCACTAGCTTCCCAAATGAAAGGATGCTAGTTGATTTGACTTTGTTTTTACTTTTGAAATTAGCTCTTAACCAAAGCAGAGGCTTTGCCAAAAGCCCTTTGTATATTTTTTAATGTCATATTCATATTGCAACATCCATAAAGTGATACAAGCTGGAAAGCCCAGGGTAAGTAT